ACATTTCTTCTTTAATTGTGTCACTAATACAATTATTGTGAGTTCAATTTCGAACGCTTTCTCGGGAGGACCGGCAGGACGTTGCTACCCCTTAGACAGGCGTTCCCGTGACACGTATGTTCGCACCACTTCTGCGATAGCCAGAAAACCATTCCTGTTGCATGAAACGAAACAGCTGCTTGCTCGTATCATGCAGTAGAGCAGAGGATGAAGATTTTGCTATTATATTCGCACTGTATGCAATATATTTGCACTTCTGACCGTCACATATTTTGAATTTTTGTATGACCACATTTACTTCTGTGTTTCAAATGAAGGCTGCCGGAGATGTCATTAGTTTTATAAATGCTGCTTTCTTCATTGAATTTAGTCCCCGACATGCTGTTTCAAAATACACTTCGATATGATACAACGCAGTAGAATTTAAGTAAAACGAGACATTTTACTTCCCCTGCTCGTCATGACATTTTAAGTAGATTCTTAAGGGTTCTAACGATGCTGTATTGCACTGGCACTTCTCAGGTGTTTAGATTTTGTCTCACATGAGGACGGACAGAGATCCAGTTTCCGAAATGATGTTTTATCTAGTTTTTAAGAATACCAGATGGTGGACAAAATTCAGAACACCTGTGATTCTCAATGAAACTTCGAGATGTAAAATAGCGCGAGAATATTAATTTAAATATTAGAAATGCTCAATTAAAATATCTAATTTATATATTGATTACCACCTTTGTTAATCCCTAAGAACAATTGGATCATAATAGTTCACCGTTTGATGCCGCATCTCTAAACGAAACCATGACCATCGTCTTTGATAGAGTTCGTTTTCTTGGTATACTGTGTACTTTACAACAAGATGTAAATAACCTTCTTACTGTATCTAGTTATGGATATACTCATGTGGTAATTTACAACTTATTCTAACGTAACCATAAATTTTGTACGTAAACACTTTCAAGTAAACTGCATAATGAGGAGCTTCATAACTTGTACTCTTCTCCAAATATAATTAGAATGATCAAGTCAAGGAGGATGAGGTGGGCAGGTCATGTAGCACGAACGGGGGAGACGATGAATGCGTATAGGATATTGGTGGGAAAGAAAGAAGGAAAGAGACCACAGGGAAGACCAAGGCGTACGTGGGTGGACAATATTAGAATGGATCTTAGAGAGATACGATGGGATGGTATGGTTTGGATAAATCTGGATAGGGACCAGTGGAGGGCTCTTGTGAAGACGGTGATGAACCTTCGGGTTCCATAAAATGCTGGGAAATTCTTGAGTAGCTGCAGAACTGGCGGCTCTTCAAGAAGGGCTCAGCTCCATGAGTGAGTAAGTAAGTAAACAGTTTCAAGCATGAATTTCTTCTACAGTATTTTAAATGTAATTCTACCTCACATAAATACACTGTGTCACTATAAAAATTCTCTTAATGATGTTCAGGAAATTAATCTCTGTTCAGTCTGAAAAACATACAAAACATAAATACTCTCCCTGTGCCAGGGGCAGATTTCTTAAGTTGATGTAAGTAATTTAACATGTCTCGAAACAATATTTATGGGCACCATAATTTTATTTTCATGTATTCATTGTTATAATATAGCTATATCTGCGTCATTAAATTTTCATTCGCAAACTTTCCCTAGGACACGCATACATTATCCTTGTTTAGTATAGCAATGTACTGTCACAGTATGTCTGCTTGCACAAGAGCTGTTTCAAATTGTTTTCACCACTCCACAACTTTCCAGTAAGTAGTAGGAACCAACGGAATACTTAATGAATACACGAGGGCAGCACGTAGGACTGATTCGGCATATTGAAATGCCTTCCATAAATTCACGACGCCAGCTGAACCGCAGGGCTAACGGAGTGCGTGACCGAAGAACGCACTCAAGTGGGGTGGCACCCGTACTTCTCATTCTGGAAGTGCTGAATTCAAAATCTTTTCCCGGAGGCAGACTTTGCTGGCTTAGATGTTCGTGGCCTTCGAGATAAATTACGGGATTGTACCTAAATTATATCGCGGCCGTTTCCTTCCACATTCCTACTAATTCATTATTCGCTTATCATTTTACCATTCTAAATTTTGGCTATAACCTGAGCTGCAGAGAGCGTCTTTAAACAAGATACGCACTGCTCCTTGTATATCTTGTGTAACGTCTGAGCATAACTTGAATACCGTGAGTCTATACGCGCCTTCCAACAGAACTAAATACTCTGCACTTCATGCAGAACAATGGCGGTGTTCTTGCTTATACAATTATACTCCTTGACCAGCTGGTTTACTGTCGTCATTTCGGATGGCAATGAGGTGATAAAGGGGATCGAAGCAAGAATATCTTGTTATGTAGACGTTATCTATATAATTATATCACTCCGACATTTTGCTAAATGAGCTACGAAAGCTTACGTATGCTGAAGTGATGACAGTAACTAATCTGTCCGTGATTCTTTCTATATACCCGTAGAATAAAAACATGGAACATTTTTAATACTTAAAACTTGTAAATAAATTACTTGGAACGCAGAACGATAGGGTCTAGAATGTATTATCCTTTCTATTCGTGATAGTCCCTATCAACACATCACCATCACTGAAATATATACAAAATTGTGCAACATCAGATAATGTATGTAAAAATAACAGCGTTCCGAAAGGCTTGCCAAGTATGTACCTCTCCTTTACTGAATTTCGCACTTACATCCGTTCTCAGCGCCACTGCTCACATATAAAACATTGTAATGCAGAACGTTACACTAAGAAAGAATTTTCTCTCTTTTGATATCTCATCAATGGATTGGTTTAACGACTTTGCCAGTATTACAAGTTTTTCAGGCTAAAGTAAATGTTAGGAAGATCAGTGGAAAATTGATTGAAAATTTGATGGAAGGAAGAGGTCATGGCGTAATTTTAGGTACTAAAGTGAGAAATTTCTGGGGCCTGAGTACAAAATATTTTTCAGGGAAATCGGTTTACGAGTTTTTATACCGTCACCTATCACATTGATTCTGCTATATACAATAAGCGATTGCGCTGAATATATCAATAGATTCATAGTTTACTGAATTAAACATTCAGTGTTCAGTCATGGTTAATAGTCCTCAGGTGTGTACATACATAATGATGAATGATTGAACTATATTACTGAAAATGTAATCAAAATTAGTCCTCAACTTTCAGAGAAATTTTCTAAATTATAAGACCGTAGATTCTTCTCTTCCTTCCATGAAAGTCTTGGTTTGATGTACTGATCAATATGAACACTTCTTACTTACAGATCTGGTGGCTTGTCTTCACTCTCGTCTTTCCCAGCAGCTACAGTTCGCTCCATATCGAAGAATTCAATGGCGCCTCCAAGCAGCAAATACAGAATGCTGTAAAATTATCTTCCGAAATGTTTTCCGGAAGCAGGTGCATTGATTTCATTTCGAGCAGTGCAGTGGCAGAAGAGTTAGCGTCTGAAGTCCACAAGATGTCTGTTATTCCAGTAACAATTGGACATAATCACTTAGATTTTCCTTGTAAGGAATATTTCGTGCTCGTAGACAGTAGACACGAGATACTGGCTTCTGTGAAAGATTTACCTTTCAGATCACGTGACAATGTTATAATTTTTATCTTGAGCGAAATGTGTCCAGGAGTTGAGTTCCTGGCAGCGAGGAAGTTCGGAGCAGCACAAGTGGCTGTTATTTGTAGCGTTAGAGAGGCGGTATACCGTCTGGACACTTTAGGAGAACTGCATGAGGTAACGGATAATACCAAATTGTTTAAAGACAAATCGTCATCTATTAAGAATTACATGGGCCGTTCCTTAAGTGTGAGCACTTTCCATTGCCCTCCTCTTTCGTATGGAACTGGAAATGGTGCGACGAGTGCATCATACCAGGAAAACGGAAAGCATGGTAACTATTAGTGACAGTTTAAATACTCAAGTGTTTGTGCAAATTTGTTGCAAAGAACATAATTATTTCCCTCATTGTGTGCCACCATTACCACCAGAAGATGTTACTTTCTGGATAGGTGTATCCTTGGTTTTCCCTCCTAGAGTACCGATGTGTGTCTGTTAAAAATTTTAAAATATTTTAGAAACATATACTGCCTACATCTTAAGGGTTAAAATTATACCAAAGCAGGAAAGCCCAATAAGTAAACAACAAATCAAAGATTGAAAACAGAGCTAGTTGCACGATTATGGTCTTTTCTTGTTTGTAGTCTTCAACTCTGAAGATGGAGGCAATACCTTCTCCTGAAACATCAGTATACTGCTACTGGACTAAACGTCATCGCATCTTAGATGATAGTACTTCTAATAACATATCTACTTTACTTGTAGAATTAGTAGAAATTGTACATCGTCACCTCTTTTACGTTTTTACAACCCATTCAATGTTCCAGCAGCATCTTGTCAGTTCGAAGTTGACTATTTTGCCAACTCAGAGGCACAATATCAATATCTTAAGAAAGCGACAGCTACTGATGGCCAGTAACTTGTAAGGTATTAACCCAGCTAATTGGGGAGACCGCCACTGGATGCAATGCTGCATCGCTTCAGTCCTGCCTAAACTCAAGATCAATCTTATTTATAGGCTATCTATTTTAATGTTATCATTTAACGTCCTCCTCAATCTCTAAACTGACAAATTTTGATGAGCTTTTCGTACCAAATTCTGTATAAAAATGTTGTGTTCCTCACCTGGGCTACATATTTAGACCATCGCAACTTCATGCTGTGCTTGCTAGTCTATTATTTGTTCTGTTAGTCAAGTAACCAGCTCTCACATTCAGTTTGTTCTTTCGTAGGCGTCTTGGATGGCATAGAGATGAAAATATTTCTTGAGGTTTCGCGCCGACTCAACTTCACGTGGAAACTAGAGGAGCCAGCCGAAAAGAATAAATGGGGACAGAAATTTGAGAATGGTTCCTGGTCAGGCGGGATTATAGGTGCGCTGGTGGATGGAAGAGCAGATGTGGGATTTTGCTTTCTGTGGCTGGTGGATCCTCAAGCAAGTGACATCGACCTCACGTTTCCCTGGAACTCGGTGTGCAACACGTTCCTGGTTCCTCGGCCAGAACGTCTCAAGAAACTCAGCGCCATCTTCCTACCGTTCAGATCATCTCTGTGGGGTTCACTTACTGCCGCCACAATGTTCGTAGCTACCGTGATGTGGCTCCTAGCTCGACTCAGTCCCCCAGGTGCACTAAATACCACTGAAGGTAAGGGTGAATCTGCTGCAGCCATGTTAACGACTTCATTACACTACTGTAAGGAGCGATCCAAGAAAAGTAACGAAACTGGACGCATCTGAACTTACCTCCGCAATGTTCACATAACTAATGTTTCTTTGGTGGCCGTAACTGTTCTGAACATCATGTTCCGTATGTCGACTATATTCTAATCTCTCTAAGGTAGGCCGCACATCGGCATGCGTCAAGACACGAAGTATTTCGGAATTATGAAAATATATTATCAGAACCATTCTCAGGCCTCTGTATTAGGGGAAATATTATCGCTACCACTGTGGAAGTCGTGCAAAACTTGAGCGATTTTAGTCTCACTACATTAGTACCCAGTTTCATTGAAGCGCACCTACTAATGCAGACGTGGTGGAAGGGGTCACGTGGACACACGGCTGTAATGATACCCCAGACGGCCGTATTTCCTTACCAAGTAGGATATCAGAGCTCAGGAGAGACACAACTGCATGCAAAGGAATATAAAACATGCGGTAACCGCTCATTGGCCTGTTCTCAGGGCGTCTTAGCTGGTGCGACTATTTGTTGGCCGTGCTGGGCGTTCTGACAATGGCGAACCCAGCAACATCACAACATCGGCTGTACGAAGTAAGGCATGTGCTGAATTCGTGGGCGGTGTTTACTCTGCTGATAACTACAGCATATTCCAGCGGACTGGTGTCCCATTTGACTGTTCCCACATATTCCAAGCCGTTGGACACAATCCGAGCATTGGTCGAAGCGGACATATATTGGAGCTCAGCATATTACCCCGCAGTGGAGATCCTATTCGATATCGAGGTATGTGTGTTTTCTTGTATTTACAGTTGTACTTATTTCCACCAGGACAATTCATCTATAGATACAATATGCCTTCATTATCTACCGCATATCTTTGCCTTTCGGCCAGCATTAGGTACGCACGTTTATTATTGGTTGCAATGCTCACAAACTTTGCCCTTTCCGACTGCCAGTGTTTAGAGTGATTATATTTTTCGTTGTCTGCTCAGTATATTGGGTTGTAATTATATCATATATATCCTAGTTAGAACGTTAAATATTAAAAATTTAAATTGTCAAATGTGTTTTAAATTTAGTTCAAAACTAAATCCTTTTATATATAAATTTGTTCTTTCTGTAAATGTATTTACAAGAAACCAACTATACAAATTCACCCACAAAAACTTTGGCCAATCTAAGTGATGTGCAATGTATTAAACGGCGAATGAGCATATCTGATGATGGACGAAATGCCGAAACTTATTTTAGAAAATTAATGTATGTACAATTTATCTACACGGAAGTTTTGCCGACGCAGTTTATACAAGTGGAAATAGAACACACAAACATCAGTATAAGATATTGATTTTGTTAATTTGTAAAAATAAGAGTACTTCTAATTTTATGCTAACTCGTAAAATCCGTTCGCATGCAGAACTATTTGAGTCACTGGAAAATTTCGTCATAAAGAAAATGTGTCCTTCTATAATAGACTATTAACGCCGTCAAGTGTGATTGATAGATATTGTTTTTTTAGTCTTTCATTCTTTATATGTTTCGGTCGGAGCACCGAAATCTGTAGAAACACAGAATGGCCCGAACAACTGGATGACACTAAAGAGTTCTATTTTTCAAACAACGGAACCACGACGTTGCCTACATTCACCTTCCTTTAAAGAGAAGAAGTAGAGAGGACATGAACGAAATTGGTTATAGATTTTAACATTTTTTTAAACCATATTTTTAAATAAACTAACTATAATAATTCATGAATATTAAAGAATAATATTTCATATTTATGACATTGTAATATTATTTTCCATATGTGTTCGTAATGTCCTTCTGAAGGCGGTCGCCCCGACCGAAACATGTAAAGGATGAAAGATTATAAAAACACAAAAATCATAATCTTTTATAATATTGCTAGTGTGACGGACCAGAATGAACCAAGTGAAATTTATCTTTTTCGTTGCTTAATCGGAAATCATTATCGAATACTCACAGAACCCGAAAGGGATTAAACTTGACTTTCCTCTGCTAATGCTTCCTCTCTTCAGATTAGTATGGGGAATCCAAAATTCGGTAAATATTTTTTTTTGTAACATTAAAGAGTATCATGTCATGACAGTGAGATGTGCGCGCAAGGGACACCAATTATGTGATGAGTTTCAGAAATTGTTAGAAAGAGAACTGTAACAGAACAAATCTCGCAAATCATGAGAGTTAGTGAACCTACAGGTAAATTAATCCATTCCTTTCGCTTGTTCTGAAGAACATATTGCCCTATTAGTAAATTTAAATGTTATCAGTTTGTTCCCTTCTAATCCTCCGATAAACGTTATACTAGCGTATCAGCCCCTCTTCTGAGGCAGATGATAGGTGAAAGAGAAGGCAAATACAAAATGCTCCACACAAGACAAAACTGGGGCATAATAAAGGAGACACAAGCTTCTACATGAAACTAATAGCAAACGGCCAAATTATGGAGAGAAGATTGTGATATTACTTCCTGCGTATTAATGAGTTTCCGTTAGTTACTTCAAATGAAATTTACATATCAGAATTAAATTACCTGGTGCTGTAACAGTTCTAAGTGCATACGGTCCTGTAAACAGACAGTGAAATTTCAGTTTTTCACACACAACTGGAGCTAGCTAGAGATAATTCAGATGATTCACAACTTGCGTCTGATTATGACAAATACCTAATTTTACATACAGATATATGTCTGTGTTTTGAAAAAACATCGACCCTTTTCGGATAGATTGCTTTATTTTTAATTTACTCTGTATGCGGAATTTATTGATTAAGGAACTAGGCATGTTATGGTCTTTAACGAGAATTCTTTACTACGAAAGTGACCAGATTATCGTTAGATGTCCTTGTCGTCCCTCATCATGTGTTACTTAGTATAACCGTCCATGAGAGCAATACAATACAAGAACATTATTCAGTTGAGCAATAAACATCCATCAAAAGGCTATAAAGATCTATAGGAAATGCAATTTAGATTGTATATTGTAGTAGAATAATGCCAATAATTTACTTTAATGTTCACAGAACTCATGGCATAGTCGTTTCATACGCAAATTCCAGTTATACAACGAAGAATCCCATCATAAGAGACCACACACACATGCAGCACTAGGCTACGTGCTAGAAGGGAAACCGCCATACTACCTTGAAGGAACACCTGTGTCTCGAGAAGAAATGACAGAACTTCGTGTGATGCGGGAGTGCATCAGCCGGTACTTCATCTCATTGGGACTTTCCAAGATGTCGCCATACACAACAGCATTCAATGAGGTGCTAGTTCGTCTGATAGAGACTGGAATTGTGCAGTACTGGAAAAAGAGCATTCTGTACCGAAGTGTGGATCCGATCATAACAAGGCTGTTCGACAAAACTGGAAAGAAGGATGTAAGGCCAGAAATGTTACGAATGGAGAATGTTCAAGGAGCCTTTCTGCTGCTGTGTGCTGGAGATATGATATGCATACTTGTGTTCATTGCTGAGTTATCTCTGAAATGCATTCTGAACAGCCACAATGTAAATCAGGTATGTTATGTATCATACCCACTAACTGTTTGTTGTGTTTTACCCTCATCTCTGTTGATTCTCCCTGTCTGACAGGATGATCTCTGTCTCGTAATATTTATGTATTTATCATGGTAAACTTGACTACGTATCACTTTTAAGAACAAGAATGTGTGCCCATCTGTTGTGTGAATCTAGTAAGTTAGTAGATCCCAGTTAACATGATCACAAGTGTTCTGTAGTTTAATGCTGAGTGTAAACCCAAAGATTCTGTCGCTTTCCTGGGACAAATTGTTTCACACCTCAACTTCTCACATAAAATTAGATCAACATGTAGCTACGCTGCCTCCGGCAGGGCTCTTCGTAAATGCAGTCCCCCTCTTGAAAGGGTAGGGTCTTCCGGGTTTTAATGTCGCGTAGTTCAACAGACCAGTAGATATGCATGTGAGGCTGAAATCTTGTTTGGCTTAATTTCCGACCTGAAGATGGAGGTGTTATATGTCTCACTCTTTCAATTGGCAAGCCCGTTGTTATGTTTTTCTGAAATGTGTAAACACTAATAACAATATCAACATATTTGTTCTTTCTTGTTACAGATTGCACACGTAACATAACGGGATTTCGGAAACTTGTACAATGTTCGAACGAGAAAAGTTTGAAGAGCTCCTTGTGACTTAACCTCATGTAGTCCTGTGAACGTAGACCGACGTCATATTCCGAAAGATGGAACTCTTCATAGCCACCGCTAAGAGAATCTCAGACCCAATACATCACAAACGTGAATGTCATAATACCAAAATGGTGCAATCACTCGCAATTCTGAGGAATTTGTATCTCCATTGTAAGAGTTATTTAAGAGTTGAAATTGTCTGTTTGTATTTCTGGATAAAAAGAGCCACGTAAAATGCGACTAATGAGGTGGCTGACTAGCACAAATGTGGAGTTCTCAAGAATAAATCTTCTGGGGTGTCACACAATACCGTTTGAATGAAGATGGAGGCAGCAGATTCCTCCGAAACATCTTTTCCTACCCACCGTCTACACCATGTTACACCGCAGACGGCAAGAACATTCGTAGCAATATATGAGTTTGAACACCAAATTTTAGATTAAGTTGTCAATTTGGAACTATTCATCAATATAAACTGAAGAACATCAAATTGCTTGATGAATTCATGCGGAAATTCTTGTGGGATAAAACAGACCAGCGATAGTAGCAATAGGAAATATGAAGGCAAAGTGAGCATTCTCTTCAGCACTCCTTAACACACAAAGATATATTTATATGAGAATAGGTGCAGAGCGACCTCTGAGCCACGGTGCTATTCTTTTAATTAACCCTAACTTAGTACACGAAGCACAAACATTTATTTCCTCAGGGGAATTTTAATATTTAACAGTAATACTGGCTTTTGTTCATTCGTTTATTTCTTCAAGTTAATTGATTGTCAGGGAAGTATCTTTTTATTTGATAGGTATTAGTCAGCTGTTACTAGTGGAATTGTTGTCTGGACTGATTCACATCTCAAGCGAGTAGTTACGCAAGTTCTTACTGATAGAACATCATTAAAATGATTCCCAACCTACTTCATTACGTTACAGTACTTAAAAGGCTTTACTGCTTGATGTTTCATATTCTTGTGTGTCTGAAAGCGTGTTACATTTTGTGTTCATCTTACTTTTATTTTTGTTCAGACATGAAAATATTTTGCTAATAACCGGGATAGCTCAGTCGTTATAGCGACGGGCTGTGGGCTGGACAGCAGAGGTTGGAATCACAACAGGTCCAAGATGTTTTTGTCTACCTCAAAGCTCATAGACCAGCCCTAGAGCCTACACAGCCTTCTATCCTAGTCGTAACGGGGAGCACTTTCCTTGGGGGTAAAACGGACATAGCTTAAAGCTGACCACTTACGCCCATCTAATGCTGAGTTCAAGAATGATGGAGCTACACCTCCACTACTCCACGTGTCTACAAGGTATAGCGCTCAATTAATTAAGCACAAGGAAAATTTGCTTTACCTGTCTAATATAATCTACAAATATATTTCGCTGTAATTCTTGAGTATAGAAGGAACTGAAGTGGTAATTACTAAGTTAGGAAAGTTTCGTAAAAATTTTTGCAGAATTACTGTTTCAGAAGTGTACAGTCTAACGTCTTTATGTTGAGGTATGGATGCAGCCCACTTTTGTGGTGCAGGTTTGCAGGATTAAGTAAGGGTTAAGTTGCGTTTATTCGTCATGGCGCCTAACTTACTTGCAGGAGAAACATATTATATTTTTATGGATTCCCACTAATTGTGATTTTAATTTTGTGACGAAAAATATTATGTGTCGCAATAATTTTCTTCTTGACAGTGTCAATGCAACTGTTTAGAAGACAAAGTACATATAAAGAAACCAATATTCAATAACAATTATGGGTACTCAGAGTTATGTAATGCTTCCGGTAACAGCACAACTGGTGTACAGGTGACGGTACTCCCCCGGCGCAGAAGTGTTCAAACAGTCTAGCTACTCGACAAAAATTATTATGGAAAGTTCATCAGGAATATTTTACTGATGTTCACAGGACACAATAATATATATAGGCTATAGTCTTTCCCTGGAATAATGAAACTAAGCAGAGTACGACTTGAGAAGCTGCTATTTGCTAAGAACAAAAATTGCTATTCATCTGATGAAAACAGAAAATCCAGTACTCTATTCACAAGAACCCATCACTGGTCCATATCCTGGGCCACATGAACCCAATCCACGCCCTCACGTCCGATTTCTCTAAAAGGAGTTTTTTCTACAAATTAGATATACGTAAAATTAGAAAAAGGTAACAGGCCATGAAGGCCCATAGGAGTGTGAGACGTGGAGGATGCCACTTCTAGACAATCGGCTCACAGATGGCGGCAAGGCTGTTAGTCTTAAGCCCCGGTCGGCCTTTATCCCCCAGGAAGATTCCTGGTACTCATTTCTATTAGAGGTTAAGTCGACCCTAAGACCATAATGCGGGTGCAAGAATTAAGTCAATTAAAAAAGTCCACCTCATCGGGAATCAAACCCGCGACCTTCCGGCTTGTAGCATAATACCTCAACAAAATATGCTACCGCGTGCCCCAGTTAGATATCCGTACATGATTAAATAAATTTAAGTTTTTTAGCCTTATTTCCCGATTATGTAAGGTCATATTTTCTATATCCATCTAATAACTATCCCAATTGCAACAAGTAATATACTTCCACGATTTGGTCGAAGCATATACCTAAATAACACTCATATTTGTTTCAGATCAGTAATGATTCGTTAATTTGACACTCCTAATGAATGAAGATTCACTTGCGAATGAAAATTTCAACAATGAAAAGGTTGTGGGGGTTACAAATGATTTCGACAACGAATTTCAGCTTTAAAAATCATAAAGTAATAGAATATTTATCTGTATTAAATGAGTTTGATAATGCGTGAAGTATAAGTAACTTTGACCTTCGTTTTGAAAGATAACAACTTGCTTCATTATCAAATAAGATCTTTCTCCTCATACGAAACAAAAAAAAAATAGTTGCTAAGTTGTTTTTATTTAGATTTAAAATTGAAAACATCTTCACATTTTATAAGTGTCATGCATAGAATTGTTCATTTAGGAATTAAATAATTATTTCATTATTTGTATTAATATCTATGCGAGTTCGCTGTGCCGCATATTCCCCTCTATCTCTTGTGCGTCCTTTTGTTGTTTTGCTTATTTGCACAGTATTCGGAATTAAATGAAATTTTAAGAAGCTGGTATCGAAAAAATGTTTTGTGAGACACTGAAGGAGAGAGTGGGACGACATAGCTGATATCAGAACCAGGGACTTCAAGAATGAAATAGGAGTAATAGTCACTTTAATGTGACGTTCTACATGGAAATCTGATTATAAGCGCAGATACCAAAGTTAGAAATTAGAACACTATGCAGATTTCAGCCATGCATTCATAGCGGTTCTGTAGGTTTTGATAGGTAAATAATTTACGTCTCAAATCTCAAAGAATCATTTGTGAATTCTCCAAAAGAGTAAAGTTATTTCTGTGTACAATATTATATTTAAGCATCCTGTTGCACTCTATACGATAAATGATATAATGATACAAACTCCGTCCCAAATGCAAACAATATATTATGAGTCCTTGATCTTACTCCTTCACACTACATGTTTCGGCCTCAGACGGCCATCATCAGGTGTATAACACTCACGTGGCTGTCACACTGCACCCAGCCCAAAATTTAACATTTAAAACATTTCCTTGTTATTATCAACATCTACTTCGTTGATATCTGTCTGGTTTGTAGATTATTTTACACACGTTAATTTTGACTTTGCTGTAGTAGCACTATAAAATCTTTAGTTCTGATTTTAAAATCCTTTAAAATTTTTCTCTAAATTTTAAAATTTAAAATTGTTAGGGTTACTCGCCCTATGTCTAAAGTGCTGCAGCGGCTAGTTCTTGTTTTCACACTGTATAGGTGTTATCTGTAATATACAAATATATTCGTATTATTATCTTATGTATGTAATGTTTTCTTATGCGTTTATATTGTTATTTGTACTTACTCTGTGTAGTCTTCTTGTGTGCGTGCCGCTGCTATTCTTTACTACATGTGCTGTCAGATGTACTGTGTGCTGAGTTTTATGTTGGTGAGTGTAGGGGGGGGAATGGGTAGTGGGGAGAGAGTATCGTAAGTCTTTGATATTCTCTAATATTGTTCTTTACCGATTATATTCATAAAGACCATAACACATTAGAAATGTACCCACAAAACTCTGAGAGAAGAAGAAATTCGGAGTCAGTTTGCCGTCATGGAGTACCGAATCTGTTGTCTTCTTCTCTTCTATCTAAAAGTACAATGATTAAACTGCACACAACCGCAATTATTCCTTTTGTTTTGTGTGCATCCGAAAATCGATGACCTACATAAATGCAAGGAAACATACTGAGGTTGTTTGAGAAGAGGTTACCGATAGGATTGTATAGATTTAAGAGGCAGGAAGTAACAGGAGTGTGGAGACAGTTCCAGAATAGGGAGTCTCTATATATTTCTCGCATCGAACAGATTGGTCTGGAAGTAATTCTGTAGACTTGTATTCAGTGGGTTCGCATTTCGAAACTTGAGGCTCACACATTCTATCCTGATTGGGGTTTTCGAGGTTTCCACCTGTCCGTCCACACAAGTTCAGGAACAGTGTCTGGAGTAGGCCACGACCGCTTCGCTCAAATTCCCTTCCAATTCATCATCAAACAATTATTTGTCATTCGAAGCTGTAGGTCTGCAGTTACGATACCGAAAATATTGGTAAAGACTCCACCAAAAACGTACTTCTCGACAGATATCATTAGGATGATAAAAATGAGTATGAAGTGGGTTGGATGTGTGGCACGAAATCGATAGAAACCCAATTAATATGCATTTTAGCAGAATAACCTGAAGGAAAGAGGTGACTCAGTAGAAGTAGTGGTAGATGGGAGAACAATTTTAAAAATTATCTTAAAGAAATAGGTTTAGAGATATTAAATGGATACATTTCGTTCTCTATAGAGAAGAGTGACGAGCTGTTATGAACACGTTAGCGCTCAGCAAAATTTCTTGATTGGACGAATATCTACTAACTTCTGAAGGACTGTACTCAATTTATAATATATCAGTTATATTTTAGAGTATCATATGGCTCTAACTTTGTACTGTAGAAAGCAATGGGTTTGAATAACTTGTTAATTCTGTGTCAATTCATCTCTCACGAATGTAGCTGAGCCCTTCTTGAGAAGCCACAATTGTGTAGTCACTCAAGAACTTCCAATCATTTTATGGAACCTGCAGGCTCATTACCTTGTTGACAAGAACCGTCCACTGGCGTATCCTGAGGCAGATAAGTCCAATCCACACCATCTCATCCTATAACTTAAGACACATTTTAATATTACCAACCCACGTACGTCTTGTTCTTCCTAGTTGCTTTTTCCTTCTGACTTTCTCAATTCGTACTACATGCCCTGCACATCTCATCCTCCTTCACC